ACCAAAAATACAAAAAATTGGCCGGGCATGATGGTGCATGCCTGTAGTCCCAGTTACTCTGGAGGCTGAGGTGGACTGATCTCGTGAGCCTGGGAGGTGGAGGTTGCAGTGGGCCAAGACTTCACTGCTGCCCTTCATCCTGGATGACGGAGCAAGATTCCCTCTCAAAAAATAAAAAGAAAGAAAGAAATAGACAAAGCCCAATGTTGGCAATGCTCTGTGACTGATATCTTAGGGTTGGTGGAGAGAGTGGACTTAGCACTTATGGAAGGAGACATATTTCCTGGGTGCCACAAGGCCACATATACCCTGGTAAGACATGGGGGAGTGTTGGGCTGCTACCCACCTTTCATCTGTTTGTCAGGCAAAAATGCTTTCAAGATCATTCCACTTGATTGTCTTTTAAATAAAAATAATGTGGGAATGTGAGGCCGGGCACAGTGGCTCACGCCTGTAATCCCAGCACATTGGGAGGCCAAGGCGGGTGGATCACGAGGTCAAGAGATCGAAACCATCCTGGTCAACATGGTGAAACCCTGTCTCTACTAAAAATACAAAAATTAGCTGGGCATGGTGGTGCACGCCTGTAGTCCCAGCTACTCGGGAGGTTGAGGCAGAAGAATTGCTTGAACCCAGGAGGCGGAGGTTGCAGTGAGCCGAGATCGCGCCATTGCACTCCAGCCTGGGTAACAAGGGTGAAACTCCGTCTCAAAAATAATAATAATAAAAATAAAAAATAATGTGGGAATGGAATGGAATTGCTGAGTGGCTGGCTGGGTGTATGCTTAAATTTTCAGCAGCTGCCAGACTGCTTTCCATAGTGGTTGTACCATTTTACATTCCCCCAGCAGTGTGAGCTTTCCAGTGCCTCCACATCCTTGCCAACACTCGGTGTGGTCACTCTTTTCAGTCTTAGCCTTTCTAATAGTTCTGTAGTGGTATCCTCTTGTGGTTTTATTCCGTATGTCTTCCTTGAGACAGAGCCTCACTACGTTGCCCAGGCTGGAGTACAGTGGGCCCATCACAGCTCACTTTCTCTTCAGGAAAGTCTTCCCTGATCTTTCAGTCTAGGTCGGAAGCACAGTAATATACAGTCATGAGGCCCCAGAGTCATCCCTTTTGACTATTAGTGCAACTGTAATTTTTTTTTGAGTTTTTTTTTTTTTTTTTTTTTTTGAGATGGAGTTTCACCCAGGCTGGAATGCAATGGTGCGATCTTGGCTCACTGCAACCTCCGCCTCCCAGGTTCAACCCATTCTCATGCCTCAGCCTCCCAAATGGGATTAAAGGCACGAGCCACCATGCCTCACTAATTTTTTTATTTTTGGTAGAGACAGGCTTTTGCCATGTTGCCCAAGCTGATCTTGAACTCCTGACCTCAAGTGATCCACAAGCCTCAGCTTCCCAAAGTGCTGAGATTATAGGTGTGAGCCACCGTGCCTGGCCCACGGTTGACTCTTAAGACTACAACCTTGTTACTTCAGAGTTGGTCTGAGGACTGAGATATATCACCTCCTACCCATCAGTTCAGCCCAAGAGGTTGAGGCTGCAGTAAGCTCGATGGCACCACTGCACTCCAGCACGAGCAACAGAAGGAGACTCTGTTAATGAATGAACCCATCACTTCTCTGAGCTTCAGTTCTTCATTTGAAAATGGTGAAAAAAAAAAAAAAATTCTCGGCCGGGCGCGGTGGCTCACTACTGTAATCCCAGCACTTTGGGAGGCCGAGGTGGGTGGATCATGAGGTCAAGAGATCGAGACCATCCTGGTCAACATGGTGAAACCCCGTTTCTACTAAAAATACGAAAAATTAGCTGGGCATGGTGGCACGTGCCTGTAATCCCAGCTACTCAGGAGGCTGAGGCAGGAGAATTACCTGAACCCAGGAGGCGGAGGTTGCAGTGAGCCAAGATCATTGCACTCCAGCCTGGGTAACAAAAGCAAAACTCTGTCTCAAAAAAAAAAAAAAATTCTTTCCCTGCTGTTACATGAGAAAGTTCAGAAGTGGTGTGTATAAAGTGCTTCCTACCTAGACAGGCAGTCTGGAGTTTGAAGCCCTACCTTGTCATTTGGGGGCTGTGGAATGGTCTCAGTGCTGGAGCAGAGAGTGGCATCTGGTGCTCGGTGTCATCCTAACCCCCACAGTCCCTATTGTAGTTTGCTAGGGCAGCCACAACAAAATACCACAGAGGAGGAGATAAACGACAGAAGCTTATTTTATCGCAGTTCTAGAGGCTGGAAGTCCATGCACTTTCCTCCTCTATAAGAGGTCACAGCGTTTCCCACGAGCTCGTATATGTGGTGGAGGGAGAGGCTGAAGGAGCAGGTGCCATGGGAGCCTGAGCCACCTGCTGGGTCACTGGCGTCCTGGGACCTGCTTGAACCTGACCCCATACACAGCTCACCCTGGGGTGCTGGAGGCTGCTGTGCACGCCCCAGGTCATTTAGTAGCTCAGACATCACCAGGACACAATGTGCCATTCAGGTCCCAAGGCCCTTGGTGTCCTGTGCTCAGGCATTCAGACACCACTAGGTGCAGGGATAAGCCAAGAGCTGCTTTCCAAATGAAAAGAGCTACTGCAGGAGGAGGTTCCTCTACAACCTCCAGTTCTGCACTCTGAATCTTTTGGAGCTTGTGAAAGGCTGCGTAAAATAATACACTGGATTTGGGGTGGCGGGGGTGGAAAGTATAATCCAATTATCTATTTAAACTACCTCACCCTAGATAGTATATAGATTTAGTCATGTCATAGTAGGTTCAGTGGAAAAATACGATGCATAATTTTTATAATGAAAAGTCATTGCCATTTTATTGTCTACTCCCCAGTGAAAAAGGCAGAAGTTGAAAAGAAATAGAAAATAAAGTGTAACAATATATTTGCCTACTGAAAAAAAAAATCCACTGGATTTGAAACACAGGTGCTCTTACACTCATTAATTTTTTAAAACACTCATCCAGGACTTACTGAGAAGAATAATTTACAGTTCTAAGTGGAATATTTTAGTGGGAAGGACAGTGGTTCATTTCTATGATCGTTCTATTGTGACTGAAACGGTTTGTTCTTTTGTGATTTGTAGGCATTCCCTCTACCTATTTACTTTCCACCTCTGATGTTTACCCTTATGCAAATTTCTCAGCCCCTGACATTACTTCTCCAAAGCCCGCATGAGGCCAGTCCAGCCTGATTTCCTGTTACAGGAAGGAAGGCTTTTTCACCATGGTATTTGTGTCACCAGGTTACAAGATTTAAAAATCGATTGCGAGTGACAGTAACTTAAAAAAAAAATAATAATCAAATATGTGGGCTACTCTGGAAGAAGAAAGCATTGGAATGTAGATTTTTCTTTGTTTATTTGCAGAGACATGAACCCGCTTATATGCGTTTAATTTCCACATTATTCATGGAGAGTCTAAAGTCAATTTCTGCCAACAAAAAAAAAACAACTTGAAGAGCTGTTTAAATTCTACTGGTGAGACTCAAAGGTACAAAGGGGAAAATAGGGGTTAAGAAAAAGGAGAAAAGAGAAAGAGAGGCAGAGGGAAATGAAAATGTGACCCAAATGGGAGCCAGACAATGGAGATGCAGAAAAAGCAGCGGGGAGGGACGGAGTGCAAGGGGGAGGGCTGCAGGATCTGAAGATCTACAGAGAGCAGAGCGGGCAGAGACACTAATACAGAGAGATGGAGGGAGGAGAGAGGACGGAGAGAGGGAGAACTCGGAGAGCCAGAGCCAGAGCAGCAGAAAGGGAGCCGTAGAGAGACACAGGAAAGGACTAGGGTGAGACAAGACAGGGCCCAGGCTTGTGGATTCTTTTTTTTGAAATGGAGTCTTGTTCTGTCACCCAGACTGGAGTGCAATGACGAGACCTCGGCTCAGTGCAACCTCCACCTCCCAGGTTCAAGCAATCCCCCTGCCTCAGCCTCCTGAGCAGTTGGGATTACAGGCACACACCACCATGCCTGGCTAATTTTTGTATTTTTAGTAGAGACAGGGTTTCACCATGTTGGTCAGGCTGTTCTCAAACACCTGACCTCAAGTGATCTGCCCACCTCGGCCTCCCAAAGTGCTGGGATGACAGGTGTGAGCCACTGGGCATGGCTTATGTACCATTTTAACAAAGGAAAGGGGTTTGCTCTTCAAGGAAAGTCCCTCATAGAAAAGTGACCTGGAAATACCTGGGAAATTGATGGAGGCGCAGGTTCTGGTAGTGAGGTCCGTCTGTGCACACTCACCTCAGTCCCCAGCATGAGCTGCTTTTCTTTATCTTCTGGGTAGAAAACGACTTCACAAAAGCAAACATATGTTCTCTGCTTTTGGGTAGATAAAAGGAGGGCCTAGCTCTTCCCTTATCTGTTGATTCTCAGTGGCCTTCAGCTCAAAATAATCCTTATGCCAAAGTGGTGAATTTTGGGGTGACTTAACTTGATCCCTTTCAGGCCACTGATGAGTCCATCTTTCCCCATCCAGGCAGAGCTAAGAGAAACCTGTGAGGTGGCTGGATGGGTTTCTTATTTAAATATAGAGTCTCATTAAGAAACATTCATTAACTCATTGGGCACTCCTGAGCCCCCGCTCTGTGCCAAGCCCTATGCTGAATGATACTGAGACCCCAAAGTGAATGAGACCCATCCATGCTCTCAGGTACCTCCCATTCCCAGGAAGGGCACAGATAGGGCAGAGTGCTTAGGCCCGTAAGAGGGTGTGGTGACTGGGAACCAGGCTGAGCGTCACCTCTCAGAACTACCTTCCCTGTAGGGTTCCCCTTAGGGTGAGAGAGCGACATACCTGCTCAAAGCAGCCACCATTGTGCATTTCATGCTGGGGAAATCCAGGCAGGAGCCTCCGTGGCTCTTGTCCAAATGTTGCTAATCTTCTTCTAGTTCTGCTGGTCAGCCTGGAGCAGCAGCAGGGCCTGAAACCTCTCCCTTCTCCTCAATCCTCCTTCGGCTTCTTCATCTCCTTCCTGAGCCAGGTGTGCGTTAACCTCTGTGATAAAGGTCACTCTTGCAGGTTCCCTGCTCCATCAAGATGAAGCAGCAAGAACAGAGGCAGATTCTGTGGGTCCTGAAACCTTCCACCTTGTGTGGAGGTCCCACCTTGCTCTTACTCCCCCCTTTCTGTCCATCTTCCCTTCTGCAGGGCCTGCCCTGCAGGCTTGGAGCTCAGGTCGGATGTAGAGACCACAGCCTCACAGGCTTCTGTCATCCAGAGATTGGACCCTGACAGATTCCAGGTGGAGAGAGATTTGGGGATCTAAATGAGGGGCAAACTGGCCCACCTGAGGTGGCAGGGAAGGTTTCCTAGAGGCATTGCTGCTATTCCTCATTGCACTTCCAAATTTTAGTCACGTTCCACTTTTACAATTATCTGGTATCCTTTGCACTATTATTTACTCAAAAATTTTCCTTAAAATGGCTCACTATTTGTCTTTAGCCTTTTTTTTTTTTTTTTTTTTGAGACGGAGTCTCACTCTGTTGCCCAGTCTGGAGTGCATTAGCACGATCTCCACTTCCCAAGTTCAAGCGACTCTGCAGCCTCAGCCTCCTGAGTAGCTAGGATTACAGGTGCGTGCCACCACACCCGGCTAATTTTTGTATTTTTTTTTTTTAGTAGAGATGGGGTTTTACCATGTTGGTCAGGCTGCTCTGGAACTCCTGACCTTATAATCTGCCCACCTGGGCCTCCCAAAGTGCTGGGACGTGAGTCATTGTACCCAGCCAGCCTCATCTTAAAACAATAATGTTTATCCCATCATGGGATTAATATGCTAGTTCCAATTCTTTTACTGTAATAGACACTTAAACATCGCATGTAACCCTTTTGGACAACTGTCACGTGTAATCCCTTAGAATCATCTCACGTACCCTACACCACTGACACCTGAAACCTATTTTGGGAAACACTCCTTCAGGTGAATCTTGAAGGATGAACAGAGGTTTAGATGGAACCAAATCGAGGAAGAGTTTTGTGCTGAGAGCAGGATGAGAAGTTTCCCGGAAGGTGTGACAGAAGCTGCATTAGTTACCCATTGTTGCCTAGCAAATTACCCCACAGCTTCACTTTTTGTTTGTTTTGGTTTTTTGAGTCGGAGTTTCACTCTTGTTGCCAAGGCTGGAGTGCAATGGTGTGATCTTGGCTCACTGCAACCTCCACCTCCCAGGTTCAAGCAATTCTCCTGCTTCAGCCTCCTGAGTAGCTACGATTACAGGTACAAGCCACCATGCCCAGCAAATTTTTGCATTTTTAGTAGAGACAGGGTTTCACCATGTTGGCCAAGCTGGTCTCAAACTCCTGACCTCAGATGATCCATCTTGGCCTCCCAAAGTGCTGGGATTACAGATGTGAGCCACCCAACCCCAGCATCCTATGTCCTTTTGACATGACCCTTGTAGTATATGATAATTCCCTGCTTTGGCACAGCAAATATCCCGGGCTCACCTTATATAATTCTTATTTCAAATCTGAAATCAGGCACATCTCTAAGGAGTCTTGAAGAAGTTTCATTTTCATGGGAAATGGTATTTTAGAGACTATAATTTAAACACTAAGTAAGGGTGCTGTTTCCTACTGTTAACATATACAGCTAGAAAGAGACATTCTTTAGAAAAAGAAATGCTTTTCCTGAGTTCACACTAGTATTTCCCATGCAAATGAAAGATTCTTAGGTTTTAATTTAAATGCATTGGTTTCATATTTCTATCTCTTTTCTCTGGCCCTGACGCATAATTACTTATTTGCTATTTGTTTTGAAATAATCATGCAACTTTTTGCACTAAGAATAACAATACTGAATTCAGTTGAGATTTTCATTTCTTTCAATCAGCAGGATCTATCTCACTAGAGTTGTCCAGTCATTGTACACAGGTAAAGTAGCTGGAACTAATTTTCCCGTGTTACTACGCCACCAACTTTCCACCCAGAGTCATTTCCACCAGTTTAGTTTTCACTTTTAGAAATGGCTTCGCTCTTACGTTTTACTTTTTTTCTTTTTTCTTTTGAGACGGAATTTCGCTCTTGTTACCCAGGCTGGAGTGCAATTGCGCGGTCTCTGCTCACCGCAACCTCCACCTCCTGGGTTCAGGCAATTCTCCTGCCTCAGCCTCCTGAGTAGCTGGGATTACAGGCACGCGCCACCATGCCCAGCTAATTTTTGTATTTTTAGTAGAGACGGGGTTTCACCACGTTGACCAGGATGGTCTCAATCTCTTGACCTCGTGATCCACCCGCCTCGGCCTCCCAAAGTGCTGGGATTACAGGTTTTTTTGAGACAGAGTCTGACTCTGTCGCCCAGGCTTCAGTGCAGTGGCACTATCTGTGCTCACTGCAACCTCCGCTTCCCGGGTTCAAGCAATTCTCCTGCTTCAGCGTCCCAACAAAAATGTTTCAGCCAATTCCCACTGAAATATATATTTCAGAAAGGAGAAAACTGATCCCAGATAGAAGGTATGGGATGCAAAAAGTCATGAAGAGCGAAGAAAGCAGCAAATACACGTAAAAATGTAAATGTCCTTTGTATAAATGATGCTAATGCTGTCTGGTGGGATTACACTAAAAGTCCCGGCAAGGTTACTATGTAATTCACGGGGAGGAGGCAGTCAGTGACGCTAAGTAAATCTAAGGTCATTTTATTATTCAGAAAAAAGGCAAAGTTTAAATTGACTTTAGACTTTGGTAAACTGGGATTACGTGCACATGCCACCACGCCCGGTTAATTTTTTTTTTTTTTTTTTTTTTTTTTTGTATTTTCTAGTAGAGATGTTGGTCAGGCTGGTCTCAAACTCCTGACCTCAAATGATCCGCCCACCTGAGCCTCCCAATGTGCTGGGATTACAGGCGTGAGTCACCGTGCCCCAGCCTTATTTTGTTTTTAATGCTGTAAAGTATTTACCCGGTTACTCAGTCAACTGTTAAGCAAAAGGCTTAAGAGTTCACATTCCGTCTCCGTCCCCTCTAGGTCCCTCCCTCCTCCTGTAGGTGAATAAGTTTAGTTTTTTGGTTTATTCTTCCACTGCTTCTTTCAAAAAGTTTAGGCAAATATGTTTATGTATTAGCATTTCACCCCTCTTCGGAAAGGGGTAGCATTTTAATATATAATCTACTACAATTTGTTTTTTCCTTTCCAACCTTTTATTTTGAAACTTTTCAAGCCCATGAAAAAGGTGGAAGAATTGTACAATCAACACCCTTCTTTCACCAAGATTCACCAATTGTTAACATTTTGCCATATTTGCTTGATTAAAAAAAATTTCTATGAATCTATATACATGTGTGTGTATGTGTGTGCATGTATCTTGTGTATACACACAAGAGAAGGAATGAAATATATATATATATTATATATATCAATTGACTTTCGACTTTGATAAGTGAATCATGCATGCTATAATTTCTTTTTTAAAAAGACATCTAAAATGGAAGGAGGTTGGGCACCGTGGTTCATGCCTGTGATCTCAGTATTTTGGGAGGCCGAGGCAGGTGGATCACTTGAGGTCAGGAGTTTGAGACCAGCCTGGCCAACAGGCTGAAACCTCGTCTCTACTAAAAATACAAAAATTAGCCGGGCGTGGTGGCAGGCACCTGTAATGACAGCTACTCGAGAGGCTAAGCCAGGAGAATTGCTTGAGGCACAAGTTGCAGTGAGCTGAGATCGTGCCACTGCACTCCAGCTTGGGCAACAGAGCAAGATTCCATCTCAAAAAATAAATTGTTAGAAGGATACAGAATTATTGAGTATAAAAGGAAGGGAAACGGGCCGGGCGCGGTGGCTCACGCCTGTAATCCCAGCACTTTGGGAGGCCGAGGCGGGTGGATCACGAGGTCAAGAGATTGAGACCATTCTGGTCAACATGGTGAAACCCCGTCTCTACTAAAGATACAAAAAATTAGCTGGGCATGGTGGCGCGTGCCTGTAATCCCAGCTACTCAGGAGGCTGAGGCAGGAGAATTGCCTGAACCCAGGAGGCGGAGGTTGCGGTGAGCCGAGATCGCGCCATTGCACTCCAGCCTGGGTAACAAGAGCGAAACTCCGTCTCAAAAAAAAAAAAGGAAGGGAAACGATATTCCATGTAATAAGAAAGCTCCTTGGTCTTCATTCGCAGCAGGAATTCAGACGGTGAAAGCAGGGTTAGGATCCTTCTGACCTTTTGCGTTTTAAACGGGTGTCAGAAAACCTGAGCTGGGGCCGGGGCTGTGGCTCTTGCCTCTAAGTCAGAATCCACCCCAGCAGAACTATAGCGCAGCGCCGTGGCCTGGGATAGCCGGTCCCCGCAGTCCCCGCCGTCCCCGCCGTCCCCGCCAGCAGGACGCAGTGCAGCAGGGTTGGGCACCCATGCGGAGAGCTCATTGCCTTGGGAGACTGTCAGTAGGAAGGGTGGCCCGCCCCTCGCTCTTCACGCAAGGCCCATTCGTGGGGAACCTATCCTAAACCATCCCTAGAGGAGCTGCCTCTGGGTCCGACTTTTCTCTGCAGCAGAGCAGCTCCCTGGATGGGATGGCTTGAAAGTCAGTCCTCCACACAGGCTTGTGACCGCCTCGCAGCATGAGTGTAGAGCTAGCCTTCCCTCCTCAATCCCGGGGGTCCCCGACCCGCGCCCCCATTCCCCCACCCCAGCCTCTGGTATGGGAAGAGGCGACGTCTCTCCCGCGAGCCTGCCCGAGCCCGCAACGCCCTCAGGAGGCGCCCGCCCCGCCCTCTGGGCTTTCCGAGGGCAGCAAGGAACGTGCCTGCTCCAGGGATGAAGGGGCGGTGAGGGTCGCCCCTGCAGTGTCCCGCCTGGGAGCCAGCCAGGTCTTCTCCTCGCTCCGCTCTGCCCGGGCTCGACCCGGGGTTGGATCCGGGTTCGGGAAGTGAACGGCCAAGGCACGTCGGAGGTGGCCCTGCTGCCACTATTCGAGGGCTGGCCGTAAGCCAGAAGCTAGCGGTGGCGGCAGCTGCGCGTGTGGCCATCTGGGCCGTGGGCCGAGAGGTGGGGAAGGGGAAGAGGGTCCGCCTGGTCACTGCCCTTACACCCCTCCTCCTCTTAAAAAAAAAAAAAAGACGAGTTGGGGGTACGGGGATGTTTCAGTGATGCGTGTGCGTTCCGGAGCCACACCACCCTCCAGAAGCAGGGCCACACCTTGCCCTGACGCCCACAGTGAGAAGTGCCTTCTCCCAGAAGGGCCTGCACCAGAGACTTTAGTCTTTTTTTTTTTTTTTTTGGAGAGATCTGTAGAGATTGAGGTCGCTCCAGCCCTGGATCCAGGGAGGGCTGCACTATCAGGGAAAGCAGCTTCAGCAAGGCCTCACACCTCACAGTGAGTCACACTGGACTCTTCTCATCCCAAAGATCCCTGGACTATGGAGCATTGTCCTGGGCTCCCTGAGGTCCCATGGGAAACTTCTCAAGCACGGATGCTGCCATCTGACACTGTGGCCTGATCCCACCCCTGGATACCTGGGAATTCTCATGAACACCTGGAGGCCTGGTGCTACCTGATACTGTGACCTGATTCTATTTCCATCTCACAAAAGTTAAAGGGTAGATCTACATGCAGTCAAATCAATAATTAGATTAATGGGCTGATTAAAGGAAAAAACTTCAGACGCATTAAATTTAACTCAGGTTAATTGAATAATGCATTAATCAGGTAGCTTCCAGAACCAGAAAAGGTTCAGAGAAACTTCAGGGTGCTCAGTCTGTCTGTAAATGGTTGAATAACATCTACCACAGAAGAAAGTGAGGTAGAGGAAACTAAGGTAGGCACAGAAACATCTAGACTGGTAACAGTTGGGTGCTTGCCTTATTTGAACCAGGTTTGAAGTCAGTTGGCTGCCTGTGATTGGCTGAGACGCAGCTATTTTTACAATAGCAGGTTACAGACTGTTTACACATCAAGTTAGGTTACAGTTCACTATGTATGGAGAAATCTTTAGACCAAACTTAAAATAGAAGGGAGGGAGCTTTAGACCAAACAATGTTAACAGGGCAAATATTTTCATTTACAGGTACAGATTGGTCAAACTGCATAAAAAAGCAATACCCATAAATTTGAGTTGCCTGTTGAGGCATTGACACAATGTAGACACTTTCGGGTAAGCTTTCTTTTGCTCAGCAAAATGTTTGCGCCTGGAGGTGGGACTGGGCCTGAGGATTGGCTGGGAAGGAACTCACTGCAGCAATGGGAATGCTGCATGTCTTGGAAGGAGTTGTGTGAGTGTATGCACTCATCAAATGTACCTTCAAAACTCATCAAATGTACCTTCTCATTGTATCACGTGCTTTTTAAAAAAAAGCTAAAACTAAAACTCATCAAATGGTACAGTCCAACTTTGTACTTTTTACTTCATGTAAATTTCACCTAAAATATAAACAAATATGAAACTCTAGTTAAAGGCATAACTGCTGGAGTGTTTAGGGCTCACAGGCACTAAATTCTGCAACTCACTCTGAAATACATTTAAAAAAGTAGAGACGGAGTTTTGCCATGTTGGCCAGGCTGGTCTCCAACTCCTGACCTTAGGTGATCCAACCACCTCAGCCTCCCAAAGTGCTGGGATTACAGGTATGAGCTGCCATGCTGGCCCATTTTTTGCAATTTTCTTGTATGTTTGGAAATTTTCATAATAAAATGATAGAAAAGAGACTGGATATGCCTTTTCCTCTTTTGAAGATGACTTTTTTGTCCTTTATGAGTGTTTTAAAAGTTTTCTTATCTATATTTTATGAACTTCTTGTTAAGGTTATGCCTAAATGCTTTTTTTTTTTTTGAGACAGAGTTTTGCTCTTGTTACCCAGGCTGGAATGCAATGGCGCGATCTTGGCTCACCGCAACCTCTGCCTCCTGGGTTCAGGCAATTCTCCTGCCTCAGCCTCCTGAGTAGCTGGGATTACAGGCACGCACCACTATGCCCAGCTAATTTTTTGTATTTTTAGTAGAGACGAGGTTTCATCATTTTGACCAGGATGGTCTCGATCTCTTGACCTTGTGATCCACCCGCCTTGGCCTCCCAAAGTGCTGGTATTACAGGCGTGAGCCGCCACGCCCGGCCGCCTAAATGCTTTATATATTGTCACAATAAAGGCATCTAACAGGAAAATGAACTTCAGTCTTACCTCACACTATTGGAAAAAACTAACACAAAATGGGTCATAAACCTAAATGTAAATGCAAAAACTATACATCTTTTAGAAAAATACATAGGGAAAAAAACTTTGTGACCTTAGGGTAGACAAAGATTTTTATATTGGACACAAAAAAACATAAATTATAAAAGAAAAAAAAAATCTGATTTTTGGGGATTTTCTTAAAATGAAAAACTTCTTTTAAAATATACTATTTTCTTACTAGCAAAAACACAAGTCACAAACTGAGAGAAAATACTTGCAGTACATATATTGAAAACACAAAGAAAGGCCGGTTGTGGTGGCTCATGCCTGTAGTCCCAGCACTTTGGGAGGCCAAAGTGGGCAGATGACCAGAGGTATCTCTGTACACAGAGATGGATCAGCACAGCTGGAAGGAACCAGACACACACATGCCCATGCCCACATGCATACAAGCACACATGCACACTGACACGTACACCAGAGCAAGAGCTGGAGTGCAGTGGTGTGATCTCAGCTCACTGCGACCTCTACCTCTTGTGCTCAAGCAATCTTCCCACCTCAGCCTCCCAAAGTGTTGGGATTACAGGCATGAGCCATGGCACCCAGCCTAGAATCTTACTTGGGGTAAAATGAGAATCCATTGGAAGGTTTTCCCTTTTTTTAAAAACACAGCCTTGCTCTGTCACCCAGGCTGGAGTGCAGTGGTGTGACCTGGGCTCACTGTAGCCTCCACCTCCCAGGTTCAAGTGATTCTCCTGCCTCAGCCTCCCAAGTAGCTGGGATTACAGGGGCACACCATCATACCCAGCTAATTTTTGCATTTTTAGTAGAGACAGGGTTTCACCATGTTGGCCAGGCTGGTCTCAAACTCCTGATCTCAGGTGATCCACCCGCCTCAGCCTCCCAAAGTGCTGGGATTACAGACCTGAGCCACTGTGACTGGCCCATTAGAGAGTTTTAAACAGGAGTGATATGGTGTAACTTACAGTTAAGAGATCGTTCTGGTGCCAGGTGGGGAATAGCCACATGGGCCAGGGCAGAGCATATTGCAATAATTCCGTGAACAATGGTGGTGCCACAGTGCTTATATGAAAAGATGCCTTCACCGTAATTTAGCCATTGAGTTTTTTTCTTTTTTACAAATGTTCCATGGATTTTCATAAATTGTTTGCCAACCATTGCTCTGGACTAACCTCCTCATTTTCTAGGTGAGGACACTGAAGCTCTGGGAAGAACAGAGATTGGCGCAGGCTAAGGAAGATCTGTCAGTCTCTCTCGCACCATAAAGGCAGAGCCACCTTTCTCAAGGGGCTGTATATTGAGGCATTCTTGCATGGCTATAAATAAATAACTGAGGCGGGGCACGGTGGCTCATGCCTGTAATCTCAGCACTTTGGGAGGCCGAGGTGGGCAGATCAGCTAAGGTCAGGAGTTCAAGACCAGCCTGGCCAACATGGTGAAACCCCATCTTTACTAATATTACAAAAATTAGCTGGGGCATTGTGGTGCATGCCTGTAATCCTAGCTACTTGGGAAGCTGAGGCAGGAGAATTGCTTGAACTGGGGAGTTGGGACAGGGAGGTTGCAGTGAGCCGAGATCACGCCACTGCACTCCAGCATGAGGGATAGAATGAGACTGTGAAAGAAAGAAGAAAGAGAAAGAAAGAAAAGAAAGAGAGAAAGAGAAAAGGAAGGAAGGAAGGAAGGAAGGAAGGAAGGAAGGAAGGAAGGAAGGAAGGAAGGAAGGAAGGGAGAGAGAGAAAGAGGAAGGAAGGAAAGACGGCAGGGAGGGAGGGAAGGAAGGAAAGAGAGAGAGAAAGCTTACATAGGTGTGAAAGAGAACTGTCAGCACGAGCAACAAATCCAAGTGACCTGTCTTGTTCGTGGTCCTGACATGGACACATGGGTTCCATCTGACGGCAGCCCGTCCCATCACAGCTACTGCTCATGCATGCATTCGGGATGCCCGAAGTGAGGCTGAAGCAGGCATTCCTCGATTCAGCCCTATCATAAGGATGCTGGGGCAATGGTGCAATCAGAGGACAACGCTGGGCTGAGCAGGGGCCACTGCAAGTAAAGAGACCAAGCTGACTCCCAGCAGCCAGGGCCACTAAGGTGGGTGCTGAGGCGGGGGCCAGGCTGGGAACATGAGAGGCCATTTGGGTAAGGAGATAAGTTGTGTGGGTGAGGGCCAAGGGTTTGACCTCCTAGTATGGCTGGAGAAGCAGAGACAAGAGAGAAAAGGGCCAGAGCAGGCCATCTGGCAATGCACTGCCCTCTCTGCATTGCGTGTCTGGGGCTGCAAAAATAGGCGAGCTTTTCCTGCCAGTTCGCCCACTACCCGCCCTCCGAGCATGCGCGTCCTCCGAGATGGCAGGAATTGACTTCTCTGGGGCCAATGAGGTGCCACGTTCCTCCAGGCTCATCCAATGAACTTACCCAATGCTTTTGCGTCCACCAATGGAGTTTCGAGTGCTGTGTGGCCAGGCTGGCCCCGCCTTCCGTGGTAAGAGAAGGCCAGGCCGGGGAGAAGGCGTTCCAGGCCGCACCTTCGGCGTCGTGAGATTCCTGTGAGGCGTCGTTTGGAAGCCGGCCGGAATTTTGCTTCTCTAAAAAGAAAAAGAAGGCTAGGGACTCAGATTCTTGGATTCTGAGGAAAGAGAAGGCTGGGGACCGAGATTCTGGCCCTGAGGGGAAAGAGGGTTAGGGGCCTGGGCTCCCGGGACTGGGAGGGGAGCGGCCCAGAATGGCGTGTCCCGCGGGAAAAGGTGGTTGGAACCCAAACTCCTTGATCCCTACCTAGGACGGGGCTGGGCTCTCAGATTCCTGGGTTCTGATGGGGCTGGGGCTGGGCCTAGGGCTGGGGGCTGAGATCCTGGGTCCCTGAGAGAGTGTGAGGGTGAACCTGGACCCCTGTGGCTGAGGGAGAAGCGGCCTTCGGGACCACACTCCTGACCTTGAAGTTGGAGGGCACTGGGTGGCCAGGCCTGAGAATTAAAACCATGGAAACGTGGTAAACCTGTGAACTCGCTCCAGCTCACAAGCTGGTTAGGGACAGATGGACTTCAGAGGTCATGGTCATGTACACCATAAACCCCACTGTGAGGCCGGCACAGTGGCTCAGGCGTGGAATCCCAGCACTTTGGGGGTCTGAGGCAGGCGGATGACCTGAGGTCAGGAGTTCAAGACCAGCGTGGCCAACATGGTGAAACCCCATCTCTACTAAAAATACAAAAGATTAGCCAGGTGTTATGGCAGGCACCTGTTATCCTGGGTATTCAGGAGGCTGAGGCAGGAGAATCTCTTGAACCTGGGAGGCAGAGGCAGTGAGCCAAGATTGAGCTACTGCACTCCAGCCTGGGCAACAGAATGAGACTCCGTCTAACAAAAATAAAAATAAAAAGTAGATGAAAACACCCCACCTTCAATTCAGTACTTGCCAGGACCTAGATTTATTTGATCTCACACGCTCTGGCTGTAAAGTTGCCTTCTCTCCCTCAAATTCACAGATCCCGACCAGCTCCTCCCAAACCTCTCCAGAAGAAGCCATGGGAACCCCTTGTATCCAGCATTTGCTGATCCTCCTGGTCCTAGGAACCTCCTTCCTGACCTGTGCGTATGGGGGACATAGGGGAAAGCAGTCATGTCACAGAAGGTGGATTGATGCCTTGGCCCATGGAGAAGTGCTTATCTTCTCGTTTTCTCCCCAGCGGACCTAGAGCTGCGTTGTCAGAAGGGTCTGTCTATGACTCTGGAAGCGGATCCAAGCAATATGTTTAACTGGACCACAGAGGAAGTTGAGACTTGTGACAGAGAGACACTTTGCCAGGAAACCGTACTAATGATTAAAGCAGGTGAAATGAGATAGGACAGCTGGGCGAGGTCAGAGGGAGGGTGATTATGTCCATGCCAATGCTTGTCCCCGTTTCCCAGGCCAATGGTGAGGGCCACCATCCATTTCCTGTCCCTTCTGTCTCATAACAGGGACTGAGACAGCCATTTTGGCCACGAAGGGCTGCATCCTGGAAGGGGTGGAGGCCATAACAGTTGTCCAGCACTCTCCACCTCCCGGCCTGACCGTGATCTCCTACAGTAACTACTGCGAGGATTCCTTCTGTAATGACAAAGATAGCCTGTCTCAGTTTTGGGATTTCAGTGGGACCACAGGTACCCTGGAAATGAGGGAGACAGGTGCTAAGAGAAACTCCATAAAGAGCTTGTGTATGGCCTCTCTTTGAATTCTGACCTGGCTTAGTCTAACTGGCCCCTATCCCAAAGTACCTCACAGTTCAAGTAATTTTCTTTTTTTGAATTGTTTTTTGGGATCTAAACACTTCTCAGAGCAGAGAGACGCCAGTGAAGGCTGGAGTGTAAATTGGGTTTTGTGTTTATTAAGCAATAAGACAGGCCGGGTGAGGTGGCTTAGACCTGTAACCCTAGCACTTTGGGAGGCTGAGGTGGGTGGATTATTTGAAAGCAGGAGTTCCAGACCAGCCCGGCCAACATGGTAAAACCCCGTCTCTACTGAAAGTGCAAAAATTAGCATAGTGGCGCACGCCTATAATCCCAGCTACTGGGGCGGCTGAGGCAGGAGAACTGCTTGAACCCAGGAGGTGGAGGTTGCAGTGAGCCGACATCACCACTGCACTTGAGCTTGGGAGACAGAACAAGACTCTGTCTCAAATAAATAAATAAAATAAAAAGGCAATGACGTCAGTGTAGGTTTCTGAGTAGGGTGGTATTAGCAGTCTAACAAGTATTGATTTCCCATTGCTGCATGAGAACAGCCCCGTTCCCCAAATTTACAAGGCCTGTAGTAACTTGGCCCTGCCTGTCTTTTCAGCTTCATTTCCCTCTTTCCTCTCTCATTTACTGTGTGCTAACTGGGGCTAATACTCAAAATGCTTAACAATGTAGATGGCACTAGCCAATCAAAATGGATGCCGGCCATAAAAACCAACAAAAACAGCTCAAGGAAACAGCTGTCCCTACAAGCTGAATATCAGCCCTGCAACTTCTCACATTCCCCGGATCCACCAGACTGGCTCATACCACCTGACCCTTTTCCTTGCTGTCTCCTTTACTCCTCCTCCAGACCCCATTTTCACGTAGCTAACCCCTATTCATCCTCCGTGTCAACTCAGGTATCAGCTCTTTGAAAATATTTGCCAAATTCTTTTAGGTAGTTCAGTATTCCTCCATTCCTTTGTCCTTATACCTTGAACACAGCAGCTACTAAGTTAATTACTTACATGTCTTTCTCTTAGAGATGCTAGATGACAGGAACTATGTTGTTTTCACCTTTGTATCTTTACACCTCAGCAGAGTTTGGAAGTCCGATTGATGGAGATTTCGCAGCAGAGAACACCAGCTGGGGAAGGATGGGGAGGCTGCAGTAATAGGCCTTGATTAGAGCGGCATCTGCAGGAAAAACCTGGGGAAGAGAAGGCAGCAAGGAACGGCATCTCTGGATACAGGACCTGCCCTTAACCATCTCTCTTGTTTCCCTCCAGCTTCCACTGTGTCAGCAACACTTCATTGCCCAACCTGTGTGGCTTTGGGGACTTGTTTCAATGCTCCTTCTCTTCCCTGTCCCAATGGTACAACTCAGTGCTATCAAGGAAAACTTGAGATCACTGGAGGTAAACTGAAATGAACATCTCATAGTTTCAGAGGCTGGAAAACCAGACCTTTGAGTAGCTCCCAGGAGATTCTGACACTGAGCTCTCCAGGGATGAGGGAGGACTGGATTCTCCTCTGATTCCCTAAATGTCTCTCCCCGTCCTTCCTTGTTCTGTAGGTGGCGTTGAGTCATCTGTGGAGGTCAGAGGCTGTACAGCCATGATTGGCTGTAGGCTGATGTCCGGAATCTTAGCAGTAGGGCCCATGTTTGTGAGGGAAGTGTGCCCACGTCAGCTTCTCACCCAATCTCGAAGGACTGAAAGTGGAGCCACCTGTCTTCCCATTCCTGTTTGGGGGTTACAGCTACTGCTGCCATTGCTGCTGCCATCATTTATTCACATTTCCTAAGAAGGCACTTTGGACCTGGCTCGGAGGACATCATTTTTGACTGGGAGCCGTCTTACTGTTGGGGTTCAACAAGTTGACGTGTAGGTGGGAATTTAAGGGAGAACAGATACTATGAATGTATTTGACATTTTTAATACAATTTCTGCTGTGATTTTTGTATGCAGTAGGCATTACTAATAAACATTTCTGCTGTGATTTTGTGTGTTTCAACAATAGAAGTGGAATTTTGGTGCTGAAAGAGCCTTTACAATTCATCTTCTCCAAACCACCCATTCTCCAGAAAGAGAATCTGAGATCTGGAAAACTTCAGTGAGTTTCCTACATTTAGCTATGGCCAGAGCCAAGGCAAGAACTTAGATATTTTGACCTAAAGTCTAATTTTCCTTTCACTCTAATACGCTAACTCCTGCTAGCTGGAGAAGTAACTAGCATTAGCCTCCTCCAGAGCACTCCCAGCCCAATCTTAAGGCTGCTGTTTTGGGGTCCTAGGATGTAGGGAACCAGCCCTACATCACCCGTGGGTGCCTCGAGTTCAGTGGTGACAAAGGAATGAGAAAAAGATTAAGAGAGAAAGTGGGACAAGGGGGCCATCACTCATTACTGGAGGAGACAGTGAAGGCCCCGAGCTCTGATCATCCACACTATTTATTGATTGCAATCACTTTGATCTATAGGGTAGGGGTGGAGTGATGGTGGATGAATCAGTGAGTCGAAACTGGTATGTCATCCTAAGGACTGATAACAGTGGTAGTTTAGGAGTTTCACAAAACAAGAACATGTGGTTATCTTTAGTTTATTATCTATGTACAGCTGATGGATCATGGACCTTACAAGGAGCCTAGAAGTCTGGCTACGTCATAGTGCTACAAAGGGGTTTTACGTCCTTGAGCATGGTGTTTATGGTAACAGAGCCTACGTCACCCTGCACCGGAACATGAGGCGTGGAGAGGCCTTCCTCCTCAGAAGCCTCCTGCGGCCTTCCACAGTTTGTTGTGCCTTGTTTATGTGTTACTCATAATCAATTTATGTAGGCACTCTGTAAGTCCTTTCTCCTTTGCAGCTTTTCCCAACACCAGGAGGTATGGCCAAATGAGAAAAATCAGACTCCAAATTCTCCAATTATGGGCCTGCTGCAGTGGCTCATACCTGTAATCCCAGCACTTTGAAAGGCAGAGACGAGAGAATTCCATGAGCCCAGGAGTTTGAGACCAGCCTGGGCAACATAGTTAGACCCCATCTCTCCAAAAAAATATAATCCAAAAATTAGCCTGGCATGTGGTGCTCGCCTACAGTCCCAGCTACTTGGGAGGCTGAAGTGGGATGATCACTTATGTCCACAAAAAGAGTCAAACTCTAAAATATTTGAAAAGAATTATTCTGAACCAAATATGAGTGACCATGGCCCATGACACCGCCCTCAGGAGACCCTGAAAATATGTGCCTGAGGTGGTCAGGGCACAGTCTAGTTTTAGACATTTTAGGAAGACATGATACAATCAAATGGATGTAAGATGTACATTGTTTCAGCCCAGAAAGCAAGACAACTCAAAATAGAGGAAACTTCCAGGTGATAGGTAGATTCAAAGATTTTCTGATCGGCAATTGGTTAAAAGAGTTATCATCTAAAGACCTGGAATCAATAGAAAGGAATGTCTGGGTTAGGATGATAAGGGATTGTGGAAACCAAAGTTTTATCACACAAATGAAGCCATCAAGTAGCAGACTTCAGAGAGAATACATTGTAAATGTTTATCAGACTTACGATCTGTTGATGTTAATGCTGGTCAGCTTTTCCCAAAATCCAAAAGGGAGATGGTATAATGAGGCATGGTCAACCCTTCCTTCCTGGCATGGCCTGTACCAGTTTTTCAGGTTAATTTTCGAAAGCCCTGACTGAGAGGAGGGGTCTATTCAGATGGTTGGTGGGAGGCAGCCGTGGCTTAGAATTTTATTTTTTGTTTAAAACCAAACAAGGAGCTCAGGAGGCTGAGGCTGCAGTGAGCCATGATCATGCTTCTGCACTTCAGACTGGATGTGAGTCTGCATTGAAAAAAGACAGATTCTCTGGTTACAGTGGGCCCCGTTACTGTGTCCCGCCTGTCCCGTTACAGTGGGCCCCGTTACTGTGTCCCGCCTGTCCCGTTACAGTGGGCCCCGTTACTGTGTCCCGTCAGTCCCGTTACAGTGGGCCCCATTACTGTGTCCCGCCTGTCCCTTTCCCGCTCATCCTTCCCTTCCCTGGGGCTGATTAATGACTCTGCAGTGGACTTGGGAGGGACGGAGACAGGGAGGAAGGGCTCATTAGGGTATGGTGAATGGGGACCTGTGACTACTGGGGGGGAAATATCTTTTGGAAATTTTTATGCTTATTTACTTATTACTGAAAAACACATAAGCTCTATCTTATCTTATTGTAAAAGACTCAAATGATACAGAGGTGTACAGAGCAAAGTAAAAGAAGGTGAGGGTAGGAGGAGACAGATATTTTCTCCTTAAAAAAAAAAACTTTTACTGCTGGGCGCGGTGGCTCAAGCCTGTAATCCCAGCACTTTGAGAGGCTGAGGCGGGTGGATCACGAGGTCAACAGATCGAGACCATCCTGGTCAACATGGTGAAACCCCATCTCTACTAAAAATACAAACAATTAGCTGGGCATGGTGGCGCGTGCCTGTAATCCCAGCTACTCAGGAGGCTGAGGCAGGAGAATTGCCTGAACCCAGGAGGCGGAGGTTATGGTGAGCTGAGATTGCGCCATTGCACTCCAGCCTGGGTAACTAGAGCAAAACTCCGTCTCAAAAAAAAAAAAAAAAAACCTTTACTAAGGCTTAATTGACACACAGTAAATGGCACTGGAGGTGGGAGGAGAAACTCTTAGTGCAAACCTTTGTTCCCCTCCCAAAAGACTGGGGAGTTTGGCCATAGTATATATATATACCAACCAAGTTCTTTCTAGAAAGTTCTGTAGTTCTACCCACAGAGAAAGGAAAAAAAAAACATCTTGGGACACCGAACTCACCATGCTAAAGGGAAAAGCCAGGCTTGGGTGTGGAGTTACACCCAACTGCCTCCAATTTTGTTCCTAAATACATAGCTGCAAAGAGAGAAGGCTACGCACCTCCCCGGCAGGCCTTGCTCATAATTTGGCCACCAGGAAATTCCTTGTGGGCCCCAAGATCTTTATCCTAAAACAGTCTGTTGAGTTTCACCCTGACAATGTAATTAACAGCTCATCCTCACAGGTACTGGACGAAGACAGAACCAGAAGTCATCCCTCTGCTCACCTGAGATAAATGCCTATTCGACGGCTTCCTCTACCAGATGTCTAGTTTATTTTATGTGAAAATGCAAATCTGGCCTGGCACAGTGGCTCACACCTGTAATCCCAGCACTTTGGGAGGCCAAGGCGGGTACATCACTTGAGGTCAGGAATTTGAGACCAGCCTGGCCAACAGGGTGAAACCCCATCTCTACTAAAAATACAAAAATTACCCAGGCATGGTGGCAGGTCCCTGTAATCCCAGCTATTCAGGAGGCTGAGGCAGAGAATCACTTGAACCTGGGAGGCAGAGGTTGCAGTGAGCCAAGATCAGGCCATTGCATTCCAGCCTGGGCAACCATAGCGAAACTCCCCCTCAAAAAACAAAAAAAAATGCAGATTCCCTGAGCACAAGATGACTGCACAATTGACCGCTCCTCTACCCTCTCCTTTCACATGGAAAATGTGGATTCCTGAAGGCTGATCAAAGCCTCAAAAGAATGCAACCGCTTCTCCTTTCTATCTGCTCTCCTTTCTCTTTCCTCTTTCCCCTATTGCCCACTCCTTTCCCCCCTTTAAATATTGAAGTCCCCAGATCCTCTTTGGAAAAAGCACAGATCACAGATGTTTCCGTGGTTTTGTGTTTTTTTCCTTGACATGTCCTAAACCTTGGCAAAAATAAAAAATAAAAATAATTAAGACTCACCTTAGTCGTTTTCTTTGGTTTATACCACTCTCTTGCAGTTTAAGTGCTACTCTAGCTAATTCCCTGTCTTTGTCCTTAGGCAGCCAGTCCCCATTGTGTCAGTTCTCCCTAAAGAGGAAGAAGCAGCACACCAAAATCAAATTTTAACTTAGGGCTGGGTGCAATGGTTCACACCTATAGCCCCAGCACTTTGGGAGGCCAAGGCAGGTGGATTACTTGAGCTCAGGAGTTTGAGACCAGCCTGGGCAACATAGTGAACACAGTGTAACCCTGTCTTTACAAAAAATACAAAAATTAACTGGGCGTGGTGGTACATGCCTGTAGTCCCAGCTACTTGGGAGGCTGAGACAGGAGGATGCCTTGAACCGGGGAGGCAGACAGTTTGCTGAGGTCATGCCACTGCACTCCTCCTCCCTAGATGATAGAGCATAACCCTGTCGAGAGAGAGAGAGAGAGAAAGAAAGAGAAAAAGAAAAGACAGAAAAGAAAAAAGAAGGAAGAAAGGAAGGAAAAAAGAGAAGGAAAGAAAGGAGATGGGGGAAGGAGGGAGTGAGGGAAAAAGAAGAGCAAAAGAAAAGAAAAAAAAAGTTGATGTCAGGGCATGGTAACAATAAGGTATTTTGACTTCTCTTGCCCACGGGAGCCCTCTAGCTGCTGCGTTGAGAACAGGCTGGAGGAAGACAAAACGGGCAGTGGGAGACCCTCTAAATTGCCATTTGCCAGGTTTTTTAAAGCTGAATAGCTTAGATCACACAAGACTTGTTTTCTGGTCACAGCCCCGCTGACTAAAACAGAATCTAGTCCAGACAGAATAAATTGAAGAAACTGAACAAAAACAGAAAACGGCAGCGAAAGCGATACTAGCGGCCCTTATTGCTCGTTAGCTCAAGACACTCCCACCAGCACCAGGGCAAATGCCATCGCAATGACCCAGAAGTTACCACCCCTTTCCATGGCAAGGATCTGGAAGTTTTTACTGTGGGTGAGGTGGAGAGTCACTGTAGGGTTTTGCTAGAGAGAGTGTTCATTTTACCTTTTTTAAAATGTCTTCATTTCTTCATTATTTTGTTTTTGAGACGGGTTTGCTGTGTTGCCCAGGCTGGAGTGCAGTGCTGCAGGAAAGGGGAGAAGAAATTACATTTTTCTTCCTTTCTATAAGCAAACTTCCCTGAGTCCTCCTCCTGCCCGTGGGATGTATCCTGCCTTGCAAGTTTTGTAAGTGTATAAATTCTTGTATTCTTGTTCTCGATACTGATAACTAAGTTTCTGTAACACAGTGAAGGTCATGAGCGACGCCTAAGCAGGCTGAACTCCGGCCATCTAGGAGCTGTATCAAAAGGCAACAGATAAGGCCCGTGCTAGAATCCTAGAGCTCTACAGATATCAAGCATCTGTGCTGCAGAGCAAGAGTCATTTATAAGCCTGAGTTAGGTGCCGGTCATTGCTTAACAAACTGCCGTTGTTTTGGGGCCACTGTGTACTTCACGTATAAAAAGTCAAGCCCAGCCGGGCGCAGTGGCTCACATCTGTAATCCCAATACTTTGGGAGGCCGAGGTGGACGGATCACCCGAGGTTGGGAGTTGGAGACCAGCCTGACCAACGCAGAGAAACTCTGTCTCTACTAAGATTACAGGCATGCGTGACCATGCCCAGCTAATTTTGTATTTTTAGTAGAGATGGGTTTCTCAATGTTGGCCAAAGCTGGTCTCAAAGTCCCAACCTCAGGTGATCTGCCCACCTCGGCTTCTCACAGTGCTGGGATTACAGGCATGAGCCGCTGTGCCCAGCCAACATGTTTATTTTTTAAAGAGGTAGGCTCAGCTGGGCTCAGCGGCTCATGCCTGTAATCCCAGCACTTTGGGAGGCCGAGGCGGGTGGATTACTTGAGGTCAGGAGTTCAAGACCACCCTGGCCAACATGGAGAATCGCTTGAACCTGGAAGGCGGAGGTTGCGGTGAGCCAAGATTGAGCCACTGCATTCCAGCCTGGGCAACAGGAGTGAAACTCTGCCTTAAAAAAAAGGGGTGGGAAGGAAAGTGGACACCAAAAGGAAAGAAAGAAGCTAGACATAATTATATAATTACTTTTATATAAGCATTAGGAACAGGCAAACCTAACTTATGGTGACAGAAATGAGAAGTGGTTACCACTGGGTGCTATTGAGTGGGACAATGGACAAAGGAACCTTCTAGTATGACAGGAATGTTCTCTATCCTGACCTTGGTGGTGGTTACAAAGACGTGTACATAAATTCATTGAGCTTTACACTTCAATTATGTGCTGTAAGTGACTCCCATTTTAAATGTTAAATTTTTAAGTTGTGAAATAAAACAGAATAAACAACTAGTATAATCAGTACTAAGATGCACAAAGGATCAGAATGCAGACCCGCCTGGTGGAGAACACACTGGGAGGGGAGAACGGGGCCCAGGTGCTCACATTCCCTCTCCAGCCACAAAGGGGCTCTCTCCACCTCCGCTTGCTACAGCCGAGTCCTCTGCTCTAATCCCTGCACTTTGGGAGGCCGAGGTGGGAGGCTCACTTCACTTGGGTCCAGGAGTTCAAGACAGCCTGGGTAACAGTGAAACCCCCATCTCTACAAAAATAAAAAGAGAAATACAATCTCATGGTTCAAAACTCAGTGAATACATACAACCATTGTGGGAAACAGTCAGTATTTAGCATAAACAGACGCTTACCTTATGACCTTGTCCTTCAGGTCCTGGCCTATGTACCCAACAGAAATGCATATATATATGTTCTCTACATGACCTGTGCAGGAATGTGCCTAGTAGGACTATTTGTAATTGCCAAAGATTGGCAGCAAACCAAATACCCTCAACAGTTAGAATTAATTAATAAATCACAGTGGAGGCCGTGCACAGTGGCTCACGCCTATAATCCCAGCACTTTGGGAGGCCGAGGCGGGTGGATCACCAGGTCAAGAGATCGAGACCATCCTGGTCAACAAGGTGAAACCGCGTCTCTACTAAAAAAAAATACAAAAATTAGCTGGGCGTGGTAGCACAGCCTGTAGTCCCAGCTACTCGGGAGGCTGAGGCAGGAGAATTGCTTGAACCCAGGAGGCAAAGGTTGCAGTGAGCCGAGATCGTGCCCTTGCACTCCAGTCTGGGTAACAACAGCAAAACTCCATCTCAAAAAATAAATAAATAAATAAATCACAGTGGAATACTATACATCAATGAGAACGAATGCCAGGTGACAACATGGATAAATCTCTAAGGCCAGGCACAGTGACTCACATCTATAATCCCAGCATTTTGGGAGGCCAAGGTGGGAGAACCGCTTGAGCCCAGGAATTCAAAACCAACCTGGGCAACAAAGTGGCAACCTCATCTCTATAAAAAATAAAACAATTAGCCAGGTGTGGTGGTGTGTGCCTGCAGTCCCAGCTACTTGGAAGGCTGAGGTAGGGGAATCACTTGAGCGTGGGAGGTTGAGGCTGCAGTGAGCTACGATTGTGCCACTGCACTCCAGCCTGGGAAACAGAGCAACACCCTAAAAAATAAAAAAAATAAGATTACATAAAAGAAGGCAGACACACAGAGAGTATAATTCCATTTACATGAAGCTCAACATGTACAAAGTTGGCGCGGCATGGTGGTTCACCCCTGTAATCCCACTACTTTGGGAGACTGAGGCAGGCAGATCACTTGAGACCAGGAGTTCAAGACCAGCCTGCCCAACATGGTGAAACCTCATCTCTACTAAAAATACAAAACTTAGCCAGATGTGGTGTCAGGCACCTGTAATCCCAGCTACTCAGGAGGCTGAGGTGGGAGAATCACTTGAACCTGGGAGGTGGAGGTTGCAGTGATCCAAGATCACACCACTGCACTCCAGCCTGGGTGACAAAGCGAGACTTCATCTCAAAAAAACAAAGTACAAAATTAATTTCTGCTGTTAAGAGTCAGGAGAGTCCCCCATGGGGGGAGGGTGAAGGGAAGGGGCACAGGGAGGATTTGGGGATATTGCAGGTTATGATCTCCTTATGAATGTGGGTACTCGGTACCTAGATGCACTCAGTTTGTGAAAATTCATCCAGCTATAGATTTATGGTACATATACCCCTTTTTATACATATGTTTCAATTAAAAGTTTTTAAAAGTCTGCCAACAGGCCATGAAAACTCTCCTCCCCTACCCTGTGGAAATTCCTTTTCCAAGAGGCAACCAAGCTACCAAAGGCTTTTAGAATCCATTCAGAAATAATTGGTGCCTATACAAATACACATATACCTAACACACAGACACACATACACACACAAATATACAACCACACACAAGAAATATACACATGCACACATACATATCACACACTACAAATACACATGCACACAACACACACATACACATAGACAGACCTATGTTGGCCAGGCTGGTCTCAAACTCCTGACCTCAGGTGATTCACCTGCCTCAGCCTCCCAAAGAGCTGGGATTACAGGTATGAGCCACTGCGCACAGCAAATAAAGCTAATTTAAAAAAAATTACAATGGTCTTCCTTTTGAGAAACGCTTCACGGAGGAGCATGATAAATGATTCAACTGGGATGCAGCCAGCAAAATCCCAGATGCTGGAAACTCTGAGACAAAGGACCCTATTTATTCACCAAATGTGCTGTGAGAGGAGGGAGAAAGAGGGAGAATCCAAAGATTAGGAGAGGATTAAGAAACTGATCCATGAATACAACGTGTACATCTGTTTTTCTCATCAGTTGGATAAACCAACTGTGCAAGAAACGTTTCTTGGCTGGGTGCGGTGGCTCCCAACTGTGCTCCTAACACCCCGGGAGGTTGAGGAGGGAGCATCAGCTGAGCTTGGGTTTGAGACCAAGCTCAAGACCCCTGTTGGGGAGGGGAGGGGAGGGGAGGGGAGGGGAGGGGAGGGGAGGAGAGGGGAGGGGAGGGGAGGGGAGGGGAAGGGAGGGGAGGGGAGGGGAGGGGAGGAAGAAAGAAAAGCCAGGCATGGTGGTGTACCTGTAGTCCCAGCTACTTGTAAGGCTGAGGCAAGAGGATTGCTTGAGCATAGGACTAGAGGCTGCAGTGAGCCGTGATCACGCCACTGCATTCCAGCCTGGATAAGAGCGAGACGCTGTCTCAGAAAAATAAAAAAAGTACTTATGAGAGCCCAGTCAAATTTAAGACACTGACCAGATAGTTAATTATATTAACAAGGTATTGATTACTTTTAGATATGGTAATTATATTATGGTTTTTTTGTTTTGTTTTTTTTTTTTTAGACGGAGTTTTCACTCTTGTTACCCAGGCTGGAGTGCAATGGCGCGATCTCGGCTCACCGCAACCTCCGCCTCCTGGGTTCAGGCAATTCTCCTGCCTCAGCCTCCCGAGTAGCTGGGATTATAGGCACGCGCCACCATGCCCAGCTAATTTTCTGTATTTTTAGTGAAGATGGGGTTTCACCATCTTGTTGACCAGGATGGTCTCGATCTCTTGACCTTGTGATCCACCCGCCTCGGCCTCCCAAAGTGCTGGGATTACAGACGTGAGCCACCGCGCCCGGCCAGTTATTTCTTTTTAGAGTTCTTATGAGATACTAAAGTTTTGTCTCTTCAGAATTTATTAGTGAAATGGTATGTTTGGGGTTGATCTCAAATTAATTGGAAAGATAAATGAAATAAGAACAGCTTGGTGGTTAGTACATTGGGGGTTGTACTTTTCTCTTTATATCTGTGAAGTTTGAAATTTTCCATAATAAAAAGAAAAGCAGCACTCTGGGAGGCTGAGGAGTGAGGATCACTTGAGCTCAGAAGTTCAAGGCTGTAGTGAGCTATGATTGCACCACTGCACACTAGCATGGGCAACAGAGCAAGATGGAGGGGAGGGGAGGGGAAAAAGGGAAGGAAGAATGGGAGGGAGGGAAGAAGGGGAAGAAAGAGGCTGGGTTTGGTGGCTCATGCCTGTAATCCCAGCACTTTGGGATTACAGGCAGATAAATCACAAGGTCAAGAGATCAGACCAGCCTGGCCAGCATGGTGAAACCCCACCTCTACTAAAAATACAAAAATTAGCCGGGTGTGGTGGCACATGCCTGTAGTCCCAGCTACTTGGGAGGCTGAGGCAGGAAAATTGCTCGAACATGGGAGGTGGAGGTTGTAGTGAGCTGAGATCACAGCACCGCACTCCAGCCTGGCGATAGAGTGAGATGAGAGAGAGAGAGAGAGAGAGAGAGAAGGGGAGAGGAGAGGAGAGAGGAGAGAGAGAGAGAGATTAGAGAGCGAGAGAGGAGAGAGAGAGAGAGAGAGAGAGAG